CCTCCCACTCCCCGCAGCCCAGGTGCTCCTGTAACCATTTCTTGTCTTGAAAACCCACAGGGGCAGGCCTACTCTGTCCAATAGGGCCATGGTGATCAGACCCAATGGCAATACATCTTGGCTTTTTTCCATTACCCTTTTCCTGCTTGCGTGCACATGCACACGTATAGGCAAAAATGATAAATCTGCAGACGTGGTGTTTACATGTATTTGTTTTGCTTTATTTTACCTTACTATAATAGTGCACAGACATTTCAAGCACTGGGGAACACTACAAAAGTGTTTAAGTTTCAGAAGGTTGGCCCTGTTCATCTTTTTTTAAAGCGGAGATGAGCTTTCGGTTTGGTCACGGAAAAATGTCTGCACTGTGCTCTGTTGACCATTACACAGTGAGGCCGGATGTAATCAAGATCGGCTTGGGAAAGTCCCGGGGGTGTGTCCAGACTGAAACCAGGGCAGGCTTGGAGCCTAGGCTGGCTGAGCCGGGCAGCCTGCCCCTCCTGTCTGAAGGTCACGGTCAGAGCTGCTCGTGTTCTTGGTGGCCGTGACCCTGCTTTGGAGAGGAGGGTCAGTACGTACTTCTCTCGGCAGAAGCAATATCCTTGACTTTTGCTTGAACGGTCAACTTCCTACTGACTGTGTCCAGATTGCCAGTAAGTGAGGCATTTTACTGCCTTTCACGATCAATAATCATTGCCTGAACGAGAAGTCATTCTGTTGTCAGCCCATTTTGCTTGTTGGAGCTCTGGTGCCATCGTGGTTATAAGTGTTAGACTGCAACCCCCAAGGTCCGCAGTTTTAAACCATCAGTTTTCTACTCCGGTAAACAGTTGCTATCTCAGAACCCCACGGGCAGCAGGTGTGCTCTGTCCTCCAGGCTGTTGACTGAATGTCAGGGAGAGGTGCTCTGGCTGGGACAGTGCAGGTGGACCTCACCCTCACCTAAGCAAACCTCCAGGCCACTCAGAGACCAAGAGGGCTCAGGTCAGACCTTCTGTTAGTTACCAGATGGACATAGCTGATCATCTAGTAGGGACAGCATACTTCTGCGCCAGCAAGTTGAGGAAGGTCATGGGGGTGAGGGTGGTGGTGACGGCCTGGGACGGACAATCACAGTTCCATCTCCATAAACGAGAAATTTTCGGAAAAAGAACGTAGGTCCGTGTGGTGGGTGCAGCTCTCTGAAATCGGCTCCGTCATTTGCCATCTGAGCTAAGGATCCTGGGTGGAAAAATAAAACACATTTTGATACCAAAATGCAAGAGGGAGATAGAAACAAAAGTTCTTGGTTTCTTTGATTTTTAGAATGATTTTCTATTGCTCTCTTTTTATTGCTCCTAATAAATACGTCCTATGTTGGGGATTCTCCTGAAATGTGTTAGTTGGCGGCAAGCGGAGCAGGGCTGTGTTTCGAATTAAGCCTTGGCCGGCAAGCTGAAGCCTGAGCAGGTCATCTTGGGTGTGTCTGCTTTTGGCTTTTGCCCCCTTTTGGCTTTTCTCCTTGGCAGTGGGAGTGGGGGCCTCCCTGATGTGGATGCGCGGGATGGAACTTAGACACCCCTGCTTGGTCTCTTCCCCTTGCTGGCTGGAGTGAGAGGGTGATGGCTGTAATGTTTTTTCGGCTTTTCTTCCCTTGGTAGCTCAGAGCAAGACTCCAAGTGAAGTGCTTGCACCCACGTGTGCGCATCGTCACGTCGCTGTTGGGGGCAACTGTTCACCCTGCCCCCTGATTTGCTACTTAGAATGAGTTGGAGGGGACTGCCAGCCAGGGTCTCAGACCCAGCTTCCCGCATCCATCTGTGGGGCCTGGCCTGTTGCCGGGATGCCCAGCAGGTTTCAGCGTGGCTTCTAGATGAAAGTGGATGAGGAAGAAAGGGCTGGCATAGCGCTTCCAAACATCCTGCCAGTCACAGAGGTCCCCATATACAGGCAATCTCTGGTCGTGTTGGGCAGTTCAGTGACGATTGGGGTAACAATGGGTGGTAGCATGCCCAAGCACGGCCTACTACAATGGGCTCGTCACCTGGACGGTGTTAGGACAACGTGGGGACGGATACTGGGCCGGTGTCTCTAGAAGGGCTGACTTCGGAAGAAAGAAAGCTACATTGCCCATCAGCAGGAGACAGCGGCGTGATTCCAACCCTTCCTCTTCCCTCTTGATTAAGGATCTTGGAATCAGCTTTATTATATAAACCCCCTGACAGATGGTTCATTGCTATTTCTCACCATGGATGATCCTCACGACCCACTCAACTCTTCCTCTTTGGGTCTTCCAGCTAAGGTGTGTTTCTCTCTTTACTTAAGGACGGCCTGCCTGCTGTGGGTAGACTACCATCCCCCCAAAAGAGAGAGGCCTTTGTTGCTTTTATAAACAGCTTTATTGGGACATAAGCCAAGTGCCATACCATTCAATAGTTTGATTCTATCAAGAAGAGCTGTACCATCATCACCATAATCAACTGTGAGACCATGTTCTTCTTTCTCACACTCCTTGCTGTTAGCTCCCCAGAAAGTAGAATTCCCATCTGGTTTTTGGAACGGCCTGTTCTTTCCCAGCACCCATTGGGGTGGCTTTAGTACCGAGGTTGGTTTGGCACAGCCTATTGGAAACTACACCCCCCTTCTAAAATCTACCTTATGAATCCCCCTTCCTGGGACCACTGTGGTCCAGCCACATAGGACTAGGACAGGCCTTTCTCAAGGGGGCTGGTTCAAATGGCTTGTTCTTGACAGTTAACGTAAAGGTTGCCTGTGATTCAACCCCACCTGATGATATGGTGGGAGAGAGACTGTCACACTGGGGATCCCCATGACCCCCACAGTGGCCGGGAAACATGACGAATGTGCTTCTCCGTCCTCCCTCCCTCCCGTCAGGATCACGCCCACCCCTCTGGGCGAAGGGAAGAGCACCGTGACAGTTGGGCTGGTCCAGGCCCTGACCGCACATCTCAACGTCAACTCCTTCGCCTGTCTCAGGCAGCCTTCTCAGGGACCCACGTTCGGTGTCAAAGGTAATTGATTCAACCTCGTCGATTTTTCAGAGTCAAACTTGGGGGAGGAACAGCGCGCGTCCCCAACGGAGAGGAAGTCAAAGCTAGTTGAAAGCATTGTGATTCTCTAGTCTGCCCTGCAACCAGCTCTTCTGGCACACGCAGTCCCTGGTGTTGGCCCAGGTTTGCCCCCTGGGCAGGCAGAGGGGCAGAGGAAGCTGGCCACAGCCCAGCTCTTGCACCTTGGCAGATGTTTTCTGGCCCCCCCCACCTCCAACCCCCGCCCCCCGACTGTCTCTGCCAAGCGAGGTTGAAGTGCTGCTCTTCTCATGGGCAGGGTTTTCACCCCAGCTGTAGCGAAGGGTCCTTCCTTTGAAGCAGCACCCCCCCACCCTCCCCCCACACACACATACACACTCTGGCTCTCAATGTCACGGTGTGGGGTCGGTCTTAGGGCCTCGCTGGAGCTGCCGCAGCTGTGGACAGAGAGCATGAAACTCCCCCTGGCTGCGGGAGGGAGGTGATATCTGGGACCACCATGCTGATTCCTCCTCCACCTCCTCCTCCATTGATTTATGATCATGAAATCATTCTCTCGCTCACTCTGCAGTCATGTTTATTGCTGCAGTTACTGCGTGTTCTTGGCATGCCCAGCTTCTTAACAGTATAGGGCCTGTATTACTCTTATACACATTAATACTTTCTAGCTCAAGGACTGACCACTCTTAGAACATTTCCTACGTTATGTCGTGGGGGGAACACTAGACTTGGGGTGAGAAGGTCAAGGATGTTCTCACGTAGCCAGGCACCGCGTCTTGTGAGCTGTTACGTCTAAGAAAGAGGGGGTCCAGCCCCACTGGTTGTTGTACGGGCCAGTGAGCTAGCACGTACAATGAAGATGATGCCAGCCCTGGTGTAGGAAAGATAAGTCGGAGTTCTCACCTGGGTCTCAGATCTCTCCCCATTTCTGCATTCTTCATGAGTGCACAAGCCCGTGACATGAGTTATCCTAATGGTGTTGTTCATTGCTGTTACACTCGTTCACACTTTTCCACCTCCCTGAACAGAAGTTCAGTGCCCCCCAAGACCACAGATCAGTGCAGTCCTGTGCATACGAGCCAGAGCACGGACCAGGCTATGCAGGTGCATCCAGAGACAACTGTGCATACATCCTGTGTGGGCTATACGTAGTGTGGGACAGTCTTTCGCTTTAAAGAGAAATAAAGGCCCGGTGCATGCTGCCACACGGGCGAAGCTTGAAAGCATTAGGCTCAGTGAATTAGTCATAACGAGCCTTGCTTGCACGATGGACCAAGTGTGACTCTATGAAGTTTCCTTCTGATTTGACCAAAACTGTTCCGTGTCACCTTGGGGGTATGTGCCTCCCTGATGGGCCGGGGGAGCTCTGTCCCCTGGGCTGCATCTATCCTGTGTGGCTGTACTTGGATCCACATTTCAACTGCTGCCTGCTTGCTCTCTTGTTTAGGAGGCGCCGCGGGAGGCGGGTATGCCCAGGTCATCCCCATGGAGGAGGTAAGACCCAGAGAGACGGGTGTCATGTGTGACCTGTGCTCCCCCCAGGTCCAGGCCCGCTGCCCTTTGCCCACTGCTCCAAAATCCTAAAGCCCAAACTGTGCACAACTCATTTGATGGCAGAACCTGACAGTTTACTGCAGTGTAAGACCTATTTGGGATTTTGTTGATGCTCCTTGGTAGGAATATTCATATAATTGGCTGAAAAAAATACTGATTTTGATTCACGGGTGCTGGCCGATGCCTTGTAAGAATTCGTGTTGTAAATATGTCCCTATTTATCTACATAGCTCTCTGTCTATCTCGTTCTCTGAGTTAGCTTTATCTATTTATCCATCTGCACACACATATATCACATTACCTCTCTAACTTCTCCCCCCATATCTGAACCCTACCACCCATCTGGGTTCTGGATCAGAGGCTGAACTGGCTGCTATTTGTCATCAGTTATACGACCCTACTCAGGAAGACCCGGCCTCTTCCAGATGCACGGAGATACCACAATAAGGGATTTGCACAGAATAAATGGGGAAAGAGCACCGGTAGCCTCCGTTCTAGTGCCTGGTGCAACAGGTTCTCCCAGCCGGAAGGTTGCAGGAGAGGGCCCTAGCGATCTGCTACCACCAGGACGACCATCCGAAAACCCCACGGGGCGACTCAGCTGTCACCGGAATAGCTTTGAGTCCAGCGCACCCTCTCGCCCATGCGAGTGTTCTCGCGTGAACAGTTGAGGGTGTGGAAGAAGCACGCTCTTATATGTATTCCAAAGCCCTTGAGTGCAGTGGTGTTTTGAGAAAGATAGAAAGACACTTTTTTTTAAATCACTTCATTAGGGCTCACACAACTCTTATCACAATCCATACACACATCAATTGTGTAAAGCACTTTTGTACATTCTTTGCCTTCATCATTGTCAAAATATTTGCTCTCCACTTAAGCCCCTGGCGTCAGGTCCCCATTTTTATCCCCTCCCTCCCCTCCCCCCCCCCTCCCTCATGAGTCCTTCATAAAATTTATAAATTATTATTTTGTCATATCTTGCACTTTCCGACGTCTCCCGTCACCCACTTTTCTGTTGTCTGTCCCCCAGGGAGGAGGTCACATGTAGATCCTTGTAATCAGTTCCCCCTTTCCAAACCACTCTCCCTCTACCCTCCCAGTAACGCCACTCAGACCACTGGTCCTAAAGGGATCATCCACCCTGGATTCGCTGTGTTTCCAGTTCCTATCTGTACCAGTGTACATCCTCTGGCCTAGCCAGACTTGCAAGCTAGAATTCGAATCATGGTAGGGTGGTGGGGCGGGTTGGTGGGGGTGGCGGGAGGATGAAGCATTTAGGAACTAGAGGAAAGTTGTATTTTTCATCGTTGCTACATTGCACGCTGACTGGCTCATCTCCTCCCCGAGACCCCTCTGCAAGGGGGTCTCCAGTGGCCTACTAATGGGCTTTGGGTCTCCACTCCGCACTCCCCCCTTCATTCACTATGGTAAGATTTTTCGTTCTGATGATGCCTTATACCCGATACTTTCAACACCTTGTGATCGCACAAGCTGGTGTGCTTCATCCATGTGGGCTTTGTTGCTTCTGGGCTAGATGGCTACTTGTTTACCTTTAAGCCTTTAAGACCCCAGACACTATATCTTTTGATAGCCGGGCACCATCAGCTTTCTTCTCCACATTTGCTTAGGCACCCATTTGTCTTCAGCGATCGTATCATGGAGGTGAGCATGCAATGATATGATTTTTGGTTCTCTGATACCTGATAACTGATCCCTTCGGCACCTCATTATCATACAGGCTGGTGTGTTCTTCCATATGGTCTTTGTTGGTTCTTAGCTAGATGGCCACTTGTTTACCGTCAAGCTTTTAAGACCCCAGATGCTATATCTTTTGATAGCCGGGCACCACTAGCTTTCTTCACCACATTGGCTTATTCACCCGCTTTGTCTTCAGCAGTTGTGTCGGGAAGGTGAGCATCATAGAATGCCAATTTAATAGAAGAAAGTATTCTTGCGTTGAGGGAGTACTTGAGTAGAGGCCCAATGTCCTTCTGCTACCTTAATACTAAACCTATAAATATATATGCACATAGATCTGTTTCCTCATCCTCATATAAATATATTTGCATATGTACAGGTCTTTATCTAGACCTCTATAACTGCCCTTTGCCTCCCAGCTCTTTCCTCTATTTCCCTTGACTTTCCTCCTGTCCCACTATCATGCTCAGGGTTTCAGCAATTCCTCTTTGTTACATTCCCCTTGATCATGCCCTATCAGACCTCCCACACCCACCTACCTCACCACCAATTTGGATCACTTGTTTCCTTGTCCCTGTGTTTGTTGACACCACTTCCTTTCCCCCACCTCCCCCTCTCACACGTCCCCCTGGAACTGTCGGTCCCATTGTTTTCTCCTCCAGATTGTTCATTCAGCCTATCTTATTTAGACAGACCTGCGGAGATAATAACAAACCACTGACAAAGAACAAAACAAAACAAGAAAGAAAAGCTTGTAGTTAGTTCAAGGATTGTTTGTTGGCCTTTTGGAGTGTTTCCCAGTCCAGTCTGTTGGGGCACCACGCTCTGGCCCCAAAGTCCACCTTCAGCATTCCCTGGGGACCTTGCCGCTCCATTCCCTTGCTGTTCCGCTGCACTCCCCCAGTGCTTTGCCTTGGTGTGGCGGGATCAGATGGGGCGCAATTCCCACACTGTGTCTCAGAAAGACACTTTCATTGCCTTTCCAGTTCAACCTTCACCTGACGGGGGACATCCACGCCATCACTGCGGCCAACAACTTGCTGGCAGCCGCCATTGACACAAGGATTTTACACGAAAATACGCAAACAGATAAGGTGAGAGGAAGAGTCCTGGTCGGCCCCTTGGAACACCTTACACTGGAGGTCCTGGGTTAAGACGGTTGTGAGAGTCTGTTAGATGGTCTGAAACCTTGCTAAGCATTTCGTAATTTTACTTACTGTTTTTATTTCTTGGAGAGCAGATCCACACCAATCATCGGATTCTGGGATGTGGTTGAGTCCACTGACATGTTGGGAAAATCATGCTAGTTACATTTATTAAACCAACTGGGCTACAGGCAAGAGTTTCCTCATGAAGGTATCTGGTAGACCAGTCTCTTCCTTCTGGTTCTGGGCCCAAGGCACTGAAGGTGCACGCAGCTGTCCTCGCTGTGTTGCTACAAAGTCGGGCCTTCTGTGGGGCCCCCGGCACCTTTGTTCTGAAGGGGGACATTTAATATACCTGATGCAGCTAGAGTGCTGCGTACTAATTAGGGCATGGATTCAAATGGAACTTTCTGGCACTTAGTACAACACAAGCCCTGATTCTCTTCAATGACCGTTTTTTGAAGCAGAGTTCAGAGTTGATTTGTTAGAGCTCTTTGAGAATCATGCATAGTATACAACTCTCTACACAAGAAATATACACAAACTCCTTACAATGTGCATTATTTCAGCGGTGGTCAGGTTAATTCAAATGATAAGAATGTAAGTCTACATTGTTTATACAACTCATTTGATGGTTATATCAGTTTATTGAGAATGCACATTATACAACTTCTATACATCAAGAAACATATTTATGCCAACTCTGTGCAGTATGCATTTCTTCAGTTCTGCTCAGATTTTTCCAATGACGAGGATGTAAGTCCACATTGTTTACGTTAGCCCAAGAATTTTAATGGGTGCCTGTAATCTCAACAGCTTGGATCGAAATGTAATGAACTTTGTCATATCCTGAGAGCTGTCCAAGTTCACGGTCAGGCTGACATGTTGATAGGAGTTTTGTTTTGTTTCTTCTGTTGTATCAGGCCCTGTACAACCGGCTGGTGCCATTGGTGAACGGCGTGCGGGCGTTTTCAAAAATCCAGCTTGCTCGATTGAAAGTAAGTCTGCAGTTTGTGGAAGCCCGACCGGGAAGATGGGCAAAGCCGGGCATTCTGAGCGGGATGTGGGTTTTCGCATCCTCTCGGGTTGATGGTACACTAAGCGGGACAGAGCCTGTAGCAGAGCTCAGTGTCAGGTCTGACATCAGGCCTCTCCGAGAAGTCCAGGTCTGTCCGCCCATGCAGGTCTCATTTCTTCTTCTGTAAAAAGAGCAGTTGGCGTTGCCCATGGCGGGTTGTCCTGATCCAGCAATTGGTTTTGTTTCTAAAGGATGGTAATTTCTCTCCCTTCGTTTTTGGTGCACTAAACGCACTTCTTGTCCTTGCTGCCTATATTCTGAGACACAGGGCACTAAGAACCGAGCCTTAATAGTATAATGTACAGATGCTGCTTGGCAAAGAGGCGCTCCCTTGCACCCTATTGAAGGAAGCTCCGTTGATTGAGAATAATGAGTAGCAGGCAAGTCCTGGCAGCTAGACCATGTACTCTTGTTTCTGAAAGATTTTCTGTACACTTTTATGGAATGGGGCGGGGCGGGGAACAGAAGCAAACCAAACCTCCGAGCCCGTTTCCATCGAGTCTCTTCGCGATTCCACCTGTGTTGGAGTCGAACTGTGCTCCGTAAGCTTTCCGTGGATGCGACCGTTCTCCGTAAGCTTTCCGTGGATGCGACCGTTCGGAATCAGATCGCCGGGCCATTCTTCCGAGTCACCTGGGTGGCTTGGAACGGCTGGCCTTTGGGGCTCTTAACCTGTTTGCCTTCGCCAGGTGCTCCTTTTGTATTAAACGTTTTCACTACGTGTTTCAAAAATGAGACATAGTATTACTGATACATGTATTTGAAAAAATAAGACTCCACAGGGGGGGGGGGGGGTGCTGCTCCCTCGGACAGCTGCAGTCTGCCCCTCTGCTGAGCACAGAGCTGTGGACCCTCTGGGGGAATCAGCCGGCAGCCGGGGGTCATCATCACAGTCCCCTGAGCTGTGTTTTAGAATGGTGTACGGAGCAGGCCGCCCCTGGGTCTTAAACGGCTGACCGCGCGCCATCCTGTGATACTCTGACCGTGGTTCTCCTCGTCCTTAGAAACTGGGCATCCACAAGACTGACCCTAGCCTGCTGACGGAGGAGGAGGTCAACAGATTCGCCCGCCTCAGCATCGACCCCGCGACCATCACCTGGCAGAGAGGTGGGCACCGGGGATGGGGTGGGAGGGGCCTGCCGGTGAGCAGCAGGGGGCGAGAACATGGGCGGTCCCAACAAGAAGCTGTAGATGGGTTTCCTGACTGCCGGATTCTGTTTCTGTCCGTCTCTTCCCAGCCCCATGCTTACTAAGGCCACCTTTCTGGGAATCTGGGTCCTTTCTAATCTTTTTTTTTTTTTTACTTTTATTGGGGAATCTTCCACCTCCCATTACAATCCATATATTCATCCAGTGTGTCAAGCACATTTGCACATATGCCGCCAACATAATTTTTTTTAAATCATTGTATTAGGGGCTCATACAACTCATCACAATCCATACACACATCAATTGTGTAAAGCGCATTTGGACATTCATTGCCCTCATC